CCTCTGCCCTGAGGGTCAAAAGCTCAGGGTGCATTCTCTGCTGTCCATGTGTGAGATTTACTCAAACAAGCTCTGTGTGTCATACAAGAAAACACAAGGGGGATTTGTTGGCTATATCTGTGCATCTCTTGACTGATCCCTCTCTCCTTTAAGCACTCAGATACTTCATTTCTTTGTTATGATATGAATAACTGCTGTACACCAGTGATACTTTTTGCTGTTGGTCTTACAGCTACTAAATATCTGATAGAGATAGAGAGTCATGCTAAAAAAGGCACTTCTGTAGGATGAATCTTTGCACTCTTAAATCTTCTTGTAACATGTTTCCTGTACTGCAAAGCCACCCTGCAAGCTAGTATGCACACTTACAGCTGAAGATGGGTCACTGCTCCTTTTTTTGGTGTAATGTATTTAAATTACTTGACGTGGAGCTGATTTATATTCCTCCACAAATAACCTGCTGTTGTTTGTGAATGCCCACTTCACATTCAGCTTCTAAAGTCAGCACTGCACGCTAAAATGTTCATCTTAAGCCATTTAATCTACTATACGTATATCATTTTTTAAAGATTCTTACAATTGAAATAGATTATCTTAATATTTCTATCTTAATATTATTTGTATTCAATGAAAGCATATCCAGAGCCTGGTCATATAGTGTACAATAGATGGATGTTGGCCAATTCACATACTGACTACACAATGAGGATCAAACATGTGGTTGTTTACTGATTACAAAATGACTTCAACATCTAAACCTCCAAGATTTATACTCAATGTAGGACCAGTACCCTGTATACAACACACAGGTCATCACATATAGTACACATTTCTCCACAGTACCTCAAAATCGTATTGTTGTTTTCCCCCAGAATTGTTCACCACTGATTCCCCCTCGTGACCCTCAGACCATGACCAGTGACCACAGATGTATCTCCTTGTATGGCTGCAGCACTGTACGAAGACTCGACACTGCTTTGCAGCCGCAAAAACACATATTAGAACAAACTTGAAAATATTAAAAATAATTTTAGTACCATAAAACAGGGCAGAATAAAGCCAAAAGGGAGGTTCTGTTAGCTTAGCATAATTGCTACAGTCAGACTATGACCACATCGACCCTCCACACTGCTATCCATCTCAAATAGTTTTGTTTCCAACTGAGAGTAAAGCTAAAAAAAAAGTCCTTGTGACCATCCAACCATCAGTCCAGTGGATCCCTGCCATGGCCCGCTAAGCTCCAGGCTCTCACTTGGCCAGGCAAGCCTTGACCTCATGGAGTGCTGGAGCCTCAAATCAATAATAGACCACAGAGTCCTGGACCTGGTGCCCGAGCGTGACCCTCAGTCTCTGAGAGAGCACTCCTTCTTCAAAGTCAGACTTCAGGAAGGTTAGCTGCCATGAAAACCATGAATCTTAAAAGGCTGTGACAAAGATAGCTAGAGTTGATTGATGCAATAAAATTAACATTCGATTAAATTGAGCATAATTATTGCCTGGTAATTTACAGTGTGTAAAGAAAGCTTGTCATTTCAGTGTAAATGGTAATAAAGTAAACATGCTGCCAGTCACTGTTGACTTTTTCACTATTTGAATGCCATAATCTTTCCCTGACCTGCCCAAGTGCTTTAAGTACCTAAACATGACAACAAAGATTTGTTACTTACTACCATCGGATATAGAGCGCTGCAGGGATGGCATTTTTTTCAATGCCAACCCCGAAAGTTAGCATTGGACTGGTTCCCTCGACAAAAAGCTAAAAAAAATTCCCTTTGGATTATTGCAGAAAATATAAACTGCAGCAAACACAAGTTCCTGATACATGTTGTGCTCAGCAAGATAATCTTCACAAATGAACACCACTTTTATGCTTTCTGAATGCAATCGTCAGGAGTAAAAAGCCAACGTTATGCTATAAATAAATTACACTACTGTCGCATGAGTTTACACAACGAGGCTGTGAAGGCGGACGACACTGCATGATGACGTTTTGGAGTCTCCTTTAGCCAGTAACCGCTATTTTTAAGACTCGCAAAAGCTTCAGTATTTATGAGAGGGTATTTTATGACGTATTTTATATCGAAGAACAGTTGTTTCAAGCAGCTAAACAAAAAGACATTTAAAAAACCCATTGACCCAGTGCAAACATGCTGACTCACTTCCGTGTTTTAGGAACACTCTTAGCAGCACTCTATTGTATTGCAAGACTGGATGTTGAGGGGAAATAAATGCGATATGTTTGGAAGTCAACATTTTGAATACAATTTTACGTTCAGTTTGAGGCGGCATTATATTTGTGTATGTATTTGAAACATTTCTACGTATTAAGCAAGTTGAATTGATATAACTTCTTGTGCCATGCATCAAACTGATGCTTTATTCTCATTTAATATATCCATTTACACGAGCAGGAAACTGACCATTCAAGAATGCTAGTTTCAATGAGAGTGCTTGGTCTGTCGGGTCAGTGTCAGTGCTGGACAACCTGTTCTTGCCTTTAACCAGCATGAACAGCTTTTCATGGACAAAGTGATTAAAGGTCTTGTTTTTCTTCTAGCTCTTGGCTTCATGCCCTTTCTGATCCCTCTATTCCTGTTTTCACTTTTTGGAATGACCTAGACAGAGAGTGAGTTTGTCATAATCATTTTTCTTTTCTCTTACTATTTTTGATTTTTTTTGCAAGGTGCACAATGTGAACTTAAAGATGCATAAACTAAGTTTGACATTGATGACAAAATGATCATAGACAATAGTTTTCATACAGTTAAATGTACCCATAGATCATGTAGCACCTCTGTACAAACTCCTCTGTACTTTGTACCTTCCCTCTTTTCCCTCCACTATTTTGTGTCGCTCTGAGTTTTTCTGACACAATGAGTGCAGTTACAAAATGTACGGTAATTAGAGAAAAGAGTCAAAACACTAAAGAAAGAAACACATTTTGCAGGCAAGTTCAATAATGTGAATATCATGCTGGGGGATGAATTTAATTAACTTAATAGAATGCAATGATTTTTTTTCAGCCAGGACTTTAGAGAAAGTGTATTCACACATCAAAGCCAGATCAAAAAGAATACATAATGTACATGATTTGAAATTATGTATCAGCAAGCTGGTCTCTTCGCGGCATTCGCACCGAGTTGTTTACTTCCTGAATTCATGACTCCGCACTCCATTGGTTGACCTAGATAGCACCAAACCCCAGAGACGAAAAGATAGAGAGCAGTGATGACCAATGTACTTTTTTAAGTCTCAGTGGGAGAAGCTGGCTGGCAGGCACAGAAAGCCAGATTGTAACTTTACTTATTTTGGACTGTAAGGCAGTTAGCATTTCACTCATTGATTAATTGATTAACTAATTCATACAATTATTAGCTTATCTGTCCATAAGATAAGTCAACAACATGCAGAAATGTCTTTCACTCCCTTTTCTTTCTCCCTTCCTTCTGTCTCCCTTCATTCATTAATTCAGTCGTTCACCTCCCCCAAAGTGCCATTGATATTACATTATGTCTTGATTTCTTCCTTTCCTTCCAGTCAGACAGACACTGCTTCATTTATTATGGTCCAATACATTCCAATACAGTGATGACTATTGTAACGAAGTGGGTTGGGATTGGGCCTAATGCTTTTCACAGCCATATCACAACTACAGGAAATCAGTGCAGCATGAGTTATGCCCTCACACACCAACATCGCCTCCAGTGACGTGGGTGGATGGTGGAGATTGGATTATAAGGAGCTACGGGGATAAACAGTCATTCAAGATTAATTTTACAATTCATTATTCAGGCAGCTGATGTGAGAATTCAGCGGTGACCCTATTCTGACATCTGCTGCCGCTCTCTCGCACTGCTGCCCCCATGTCAACAGACTTAAACTGTATATGAAAGTTAATGTGGATGTTAAGAACTTCTATCTAAACAAACCATGTGGAAGGGGCCTCTAACACACACACAGACACACACACACACACACACACACACACACACACACACACACACACACACACACACGCATACAAAGGCAGACCATTAAAGGATGGTGGGTGGGGGGTTAATGTGCTTACAGGAGACAACAGCTGAGGAGCGTCAGTCTATTTTTGTTGTCCCTTCATTTAAGTCTCTCAGAAGGAGGTGTGATGATTATGAGGTGCCTGAGAATCTGAGATCAAATAAAAGAGAGAGTCCCTTGTTTAGTGGCTCTCACCCACATTTCAGGAGAACTGTCTGGAGCTATATTGGAGGAATCTACTGAAACAACGTCCAGTATTTTATTCAATCAGATGGGCTTCATTGTCCCACTGTCCCTTAAACGGAATGGATTCAAATGGGCATTCAATGGCTGGAGCCCTTAAGGATACAACAACAGGTCAGAATTGTCTCAAACCGTCTTGGTGTTGTTTCTGTTTAAAAGGTTTGAGCCAATTTATCAAGGACATTTTACTACAAAATATTCAATTCAATTAAACAGGGGAATGGAATTTAGTTTTTTATCGTGACAGTGCAAAAAAGATGCTGAAACAGCTTTTGGACATTTATAAAGGGACATCAACTTCAGGGAAAATACATAATGGAACAGTTAAATGAATTATACATTATACAAACATATAATATAATCAGGAAGTTGCATTTGGTATTTTACTGGACATCTGGGAAGATGGGAGTCTGGTGGAAGAAACTCAGCCTCAGTTTTGAGGAGGTGAATCTAGCTAGAAGCCATAATCATTTAACTAATTAATTCTGAAAACAGATGGAGTGAGCAGAGAAGTTATAAAATTGGTTGTTCGGCAATTGAAGGCGGGTGACGTAAAATGAGCTGCAGCTCGTCAGGACGATATCCACTTCTTTGGCGTATACATGCAGCGTAAAAAGGTTTGAGAAGCGCAGTTACCCCTGTGTTTCCAGAAAGCCCCTCCTCGGACAAACCCATCTGCCTGAGCGTCACTCAAAGTTCACTTCAGTCCAGTCCCCTTTCCTAAACTCAAATACACACTCACACACATCCGCTGTCATCCACACAAACGCGCGCACACACAGCGCCAGACGCGTTTGCATTTAGCCAGCCTGCCACTTCCAGCGCTACTTTTCTTTTCATGAGACGCACAAGAAGACCCGCTGGGCGTTACTTTAAAGGTTTTCTTGTTGTGCGGAGTTGACAAAAGTGTGACTTCACTTTTTCCTCGCTCTCTCCTCAGTGACATCTTATGTGACAACTTGTTTTTGGGGACTTTCTCAGTTCAACAATCTCGGAGTTTATTGGTGAATGAACTGATTCATTGCATATCAAATTTCCGAAGCGGGCAGTTGGATTAAAACCAGTATTTGATGGACAAAATGAATACTTCTGGGAAGTAACTCCAAAGGATTTAAAGGTATGCTTTTATCAACCATGGCTATGCATTACAGTAATCTATTAATCTCGAAAGCTTTATGCTAGAGTGCCCAATGTACTTCAATTTCGGTTTCAAATTTAAAAACCCTCTCAAAGCTATTACAGTTGCTTTGATGCATTTAAATGGTATAAGTGCATTTGTTTGCTGGTGTGAGATTAGATGAGAGAGAGAGAGAGAGAGAGAGAGAGAGAGAGAGAGAGAGAGAGAG